CTAAATCTGGTACCCTCCGCTTACTACAAACAGATATTTACATAATTCTGATTAATATAATAACATCAAAGATAAATAACGAAATTAATAGAAAGTACGTATCGCTTACTGAACAATTTCCATATTCACTTGTGCAGTAAAGCACGGTTTTGTAAAAAAAAAACCAATTTTTTTAATAGTATGTAATATCGTCACGTCATCATATTATCATCAGCCCATAAGTGCTCACTGCTGAGCAAAGGCCTCTTCTCACACGGAGAAGGTTTGCTCATTAATCACGCTTGTTCGAGGTAGATTGGCGATTTCAAACTTACAGTTAGAAATTATCGCAGTCCAGAACCTCATTATGTATGACGTATGACGTTAAAATACAAAATCGCGTCTATAAGAATACTATAGAGAACTAGCGGTCGCCCCCGGGTCGATTTTACATTTATAGAAGATGTTTTTTTATTTTTTTTACTAACCTCTGGATTTCCAACTTTATAGAAACAAGTATTCCAACTTTATAGAAACGGCCGAAACGCGAACTATACCTACGCGCCCGATGTCGGGACGCGCTCGGGACGCAAACAGACGCGGCTGTACCGCAGTGACGAACGGACGGTGTGTTGTCTTTTATTTAGAAATCAGCTCGAGTACATTATTTAATATGACGAATAGGAAATATTGTGCTGTGTTTGGTTGCATGAATTCGTCAATAACGCATCCGGACATAAGTTTTTTTTAAATTACCTGGAAACTCTGAAAGGTAAAACTATAAAATAATTTTACTTACTAGTAGTCTGGACTTTCACGAATAATTCAAGACGAAAATTAGCCCAACTGGTAAAGGCATTGTTGAGTTATAACATTACAACGAAAAGAGACGTTGATTTTTGTATATAGATAGTATACTATAGTCTTTAAGTAAGTATAGTATAGCATTTAAATATTTAACTGCACAGTTGGCATGATGGCTGGGCAACTGGCTGTCACACAACATGTCATGGGTCTAATTTACGCACGAAACAACTCTTTGTGTCATCAACTAATTGTTACTTCATATGACGGCAATATTATCTAGCCTATAGCACTTAGGAACATTGTAGGTACCTATCACTGAAAGAATTTTGGCAATCCGACCAGCGGTTCCAAAGATTAGGTACCCCCTACATACAAACTTACAAATTTTACCTCTTTATAATATTAGTATAGATAAGTCGATTATTTCAGTCAATTAGATATTGTTGAATGGTAACGGAAACTTTTTGATTACCATTTCCTCAAGACTATAAAATATAAATAATAATAATTGTAGATATCTGCCAGTGATTCGTATTTAGAACTAATCCATTTTAAAATTCGAATTTTAGCTTAGAATCCATAGACAATGGTACTGGTCGTAAAAGTGAGACAGAAAGAGAGAAGTAATGAGGTTATATTGTACAATAATTGAATCTGAGCGTCCGACGTCGCGGCGCGTCTTTGCGTCATTTCCACGTCAAATTATCTGTAGGCTGGTAACAAACACTACACCACAAACACACACCTACAGGCAAACTAGAACTTGTAAAAATAAAAATGGAACTACCTATATAAATTTATTTAATAGATTGTATTCGCCACCTCTTGATTTGAATTGTCAATGGGTTGTGAAGCTTACTTGCCTACGTATTATTATTAAGTAATTCATTCATCGAAGTCATGTTATGCCTATACTCGTATCAAGTTACGATGTTTCTAGAATGTAGGGTTTATATTCACTAACACATTCGGTGCCACTGACTCGCCCAGAAAGTCCACGTAAATTTATTCCAGCGCCGTGGACTAGCTCGGCGTAAAATGTAGGCAGCATCCGATATATCATTGTGAAAATCGCAGAGGTAATAAAAGTGTTAATCGAAGATTACTCGACTAGTTTCAAGCTACGCACGGAGCCCATACATGAGATGCGTCCTCCATCGCCGTTACATTTAAAATTAAAAATTCAAAAGTTGTTAAGAAAATATATAGGTACCTACGTAGGTAAGTAGTATTTACGCACCTTATCGCATTCAACTCATAAACTACTTTACTTTATAAATGTTAACTCGTGTGTTGCATGCCTGTTAGAAGACATAAAATGCAATATTGCAATTACGTACAATATTCAGATTTAAAACAACGCACTTATACATTTTACCTAAGAAACAGTCCCTAATCCTAGTCCCAGTTTCTCTGACGCAAGCCTCTTCATCCCCACGTCATACGCCCCAGTGGGGGGCGGGACAGTCCCACGTTTTTATTGATTCCCTATTAATTGAGGTCGTCGTCAATTTGTCGGGCGACGGTAATGCGCTGGACTTGATTGATTCAGGATAAATGGGTTTATAACGATTAGTATTAATCGTTCTGCCAGTGGCAGTTTCATTTTCTGTTTATTATTTCATTTGTGATCAGCTTCTGGCTGCGGTTTCATCCGCTTGGACTTCGAAAATAGGTTGCCGATTTAATGTTGTTGATTATTTTACTAACGATTATATTTTATGCTTATTCACTGTAGCCCAGTCGAGCGAGCAAAGCTGCTACTAGAGGAATAGGAAGTCTTGGGTACGATTACTTCTTCAAATTAAGTATAATAACTAAGTGTAAGAGAGACATGTTTCGGCAAGAATGGGTCAGCTGGACCCTAGTGATAATACGGCCTCACAGCAAACCTGCGTGAAACAACCACAGTGTTATGTTTTGTCGTGTGATTTCGCTTACAAGAGGCCCAATCCTTCCCCTCGCTCCATCCCTTAACTAAATTCCAAATCCCCATATCGCCAAAAGGTCAGCAACGCACTAGCAACTCCTTCTTGGTTGCTTGTATCATGGGCGGTGCCGATTGCTTACCATCAGGTCGCCAGTTCGTTGGCCGCCATATCACTTAAAAAGATTGAATTAGATTTTTCAAAAATTGAATAAAATACCACAGATTTAACAATGGAAAAAAATTGTCTATAATATCTCATGTCTATGCTTATGGGAAGGCGTTTACTATAATAAGTCGCATAATTACCACCACGCGTGAATACGGCCAAATGTCTGCCACCTTTTTTTTGTCAGGGGCAAATCATCCAATGACTTCTCCCGCCCAGGGCCCGGGCGGGAGGGAGTGTCAGACTCTTACTGACTAAAAACCCCCCCTTTCCTTCTCCTGCTCTGGGCCGAGGTCGCGGTGCTTCATTGCGCTTACCCCGCAACCCCGGCTGAACATCAGCCCTATAGGGCCCTATAGGGGCTGTGGTAGTCTATTGGCTCTTTGAGGCGCGCGCAGAATGCAACGCGCCATACGCTCGGGTCTGGTTCTGGTCGGGCGGCGAGCTACCCTTACTCGCCGACCGCAGACCCGCGCTTACGGTGGCCGGAGATCATCTCTCGTGCCACTTACTATTTAAAAAAAAAAATTATCAGTTATTACATTGTGCTAGAAATCTCGGCTTCCTTCCTAGTTTGAAGGCGTTCTCCTTAATTATTCAAGGACAAACATCCTACAACTCTATAGTATTGTGTTTATATTTAGAAAAGCAAATAACTGACAAGTAAAGGGAACTAATCTAAATAGAAGTTAGCGACAGCGATAGACAATAACTAGTTGCCATGGCAACCGCTCAGACGCGACAAGCTGCTTTAATTCACTGTCATTTCAATATCAAAGATTGAGGACTGGAAATAAGAGAGGCTAGAGGTTCTTCTATAGTGGGATCATATAGGCATGCATGATATTCAGGCGAATTCAATCTATGAATTAGCTTAAATTAAGCAGGAAACTATTGTAAGTTGTTTTTTGTGAGAGGAAGATCATCAAATGACTTCTCCCGCCCAGGGTCGGGCAGGAGGGAGTGTCAGACCCTTACTATTTCTCCTGCTCTGGGCCGAGGTCACGGTGCTTCATTGCGCTTGCCCCGCAACCCCGGCTGAACATCAGCACTATAGGGCCCCGTCTGTGGTGGTCTATTGACTCTTTGAGGCGTTGCTTTGAGTCTAGATTTGATGAGTACTTCTATTTATATATTAATCTCGCCCAAGACATTGGAAAAGTGGCCTTGTGTTCGAGAAATAGAGTTGAATCTACAATTACACATATATTATGTCGCAAAAAGATATATGTAACAACATCATTTTTCATAAACACCCCCACATCTTCCCTTATCATTAGCATATGCAAAATAAGAGCTAAAATCGCTTAACCTAGTACAAGCCAGCCGTAAAGTAACGCAGGACATTTTATATGCAAATCAGGTTATGCAGCCAAGCGAAAATGTATCTAGGCCGCATACACTAACTTTAAGAAATTCCATTATTCATGGGATGGAAAAAAAATTGACATAGTGATATTTTCTTCGTTTAAATGTTAATAGATCGTTAATTTTAACCCAATTACACTAAGTTGCAATGAATAATGTTAGCGAATTTAAATACAAAACCAAATTTAGTAGATCTATGTGAAGTTCGCTGCAAGTATAGCTGTCTCTTTCGTTAAACGGCGTTTATGTATGTTGACGTCCTGCTCTCATAGTGGACTTCAAACTTCAGAGAGGTCCAGATTATATTGGCTTCTCCATAATTATTTTGTCAGCAGAAATGTTATTTTTATAGCTTTCCTTAAGAACAAGACTGATAAATGGACCAAAGTGTTTTACGCTTATCAAGTTTATTTATAAATGAGAAGAGTTAATAACGATTAAAATTAATGTTGATTAAAGACACATTTTTAGACCGAAATAGAATTTTGATCCCTTTTATTGTGACCTACTGATATTAGAAAATCAAATTCAGAAAGACAGAAGAAGATCAGTCGTCTCTTCCCACCATTAGACAAAGGGACATCCAATTCAACAACACTTTCACCAATAAAACACAATCGCCTTCCCCTTTGTCCTCTACGTTGAACGATAAGTAGCCACTGCATCTACTGGCTCTCCGTCGTCCACCTAGCGGGAGACCTGTGCAAATTCAACAACAATCAATCTCATATCAACATTCCCTCATTCCAGGACACCCACTACGAATGGAGCGAAACAGACATCCTATCTCATGGCTTTAGTGGACTCAGTCTCCATAGACAGGACAGCCTCACACAACGACCTCTAGCCTCCCTGAAAAGGACAGGCAGTAAAGGCAGTGCATATAGCCTTCGAAGTATGAGAAAAGAGATGCCAAAACCCGCCACCCAAATCGAAAGACCCCCCACGATACCAGACGCTGGATTTGGCACGTTAGAGATAAAATTGGCATATGAGAATGCGACCTCGTCTTTGGCTGTCACTGTGTTAAGAGCTAGGGGGCTGATTGGCATGGATATGACTGGATTGTCTGATCCATTTTGCAGATTGGAAGTTCTGCCTAGAGGTAAGTTTTTGATTGGCTATCTTATTAGAGTATTTTATAATCCTAGATGTTTCAGACCTTCAGGCGTTTTAAAATTCTTATAAAAAACCAAAATCAAACAAAATTAAATGAATTTTCTTATGAATTAATTTCAAGTTACTCTTATTTATGAGCAGCGTGCGCCTCGCGGTGATGTCGCATAGCCGACGCCGATGTCATGAATAAGAGTCCCGTTGTGACTTGAAACTAGTAGAGCTATCCTCAATTAATTCAAATTTAATATGTCTCACAATAGTGTTACTAATAACTACTATACAAAAATAACTATTCCTCTAATTCTAAAACAAAATTTGCCTCTTCTAGAGGGATCGTACTCCAACAGACTGCGAACTAAAACTGTCCACAAAACGAAGAACCCGGAGTTCAATGAGACGCTGCACTTCTTCGGCATCACCGAGTCGGACCTCGCTGTCAAATCGCTGGAGATCGTGTTGTTTGATGACGACAGGTGAGCCATCAATGTCAGTCGTATTATGATTTACATAGCGGTGGTAATGGTGGATAAACTATTCTTAAAAAAATATATAACACACACACATATACACTTCCTGAATTGTTTATTCCAATCAATGGTAAGAACAAAGAAAATAATTTTAAATATGACACCGATCTCTAATTCCTGCAAGGATATAAGTCAAGTATCAAATAACAAAAATAACAATATAGGTACCGACTAAATAAAAGAATAGGTACAACCCCGGGTAATGATGTTTAAACGCTGCCGACCGAAGATTGAGTGAACCCACTTCCAAGCGAATGCCGTCTTTTATAGCCTACCGCTCGGACCAGGGTCTAGAGAAGGAGGTTTCGCTAAGACCATAAATAAAAAAATAATGTAATATCAGGACGCGGTATTTATCTTCGAATGTCTTCTTTCCCCTTGGAAAGGGCAAAAGGGAGTTCCAGACTCATAGTGACTAAAACCCACCTTGTTCTTTCTGATCGAGGCCGGGCCGGCCGGTAGATTATTGCGCGTGCACCCGACTACGATAACGATTGAATTTCTTGCTCTTTCTTCTCCATTCGAATCTACAATTTGGAACGAGCACCTTGCTTCACTGACGAAAAGACTAACAGATAACTTTTCTATTTTGACGCTTAAAAAGTACCTACCTATTTCTGGTTGAGTTGGAATAAATTATAGTGACTTTCACTTTCAGTTTGTAGAGAAAAATGTGTAGAGACTTGGAAAGAAGCGAGGGCAAAATAAAATTATTGTTAAGCATTTTTCTAATATAAAAAGTATCCTGCACAAAACAACTCTTTGGGTAATATTCAAATTATTATTCTGGGCCTAGTTATCTGAAATTGTACGTTTGTAAACCATCACGACACCAGGTTAGAATCCTAGTGCAGGACACCATTTATTTATCCTAGAAAAATAGACTTTGAGCCTTTGAGTATTCAGTAACGTACCTCAATTTTAACTAGTGTTCACAAGAAATTAAGTTAAAGAAAAAGAGCGTAATCGTTCGGACACCTTTTCTGTAAAGGACACTCGCAGATCAAGAGTATTGTGTAATTAGGTTGTCTTTAGAACCAATATTAAAATGGACATCTAGATATAAGATTTGATCTTTATGAAATGGAACTACGAACTGCACAACATTATTTCCCCTGGTCCTTTCCACCATAATACCACCAAACAATCAGCAAAACCTACAGTTTTTTCTTCAAAACCGCTACGATGCGAAATTCTTCGGCGGATTCTGTCTCCGCCGAGGGGTATTATAACCTGGGTGTCTTCAAAGACAGAGCGAATACGTTGCTTATGGGTAAGAGTGGTCTATTGTAGACCGCATCACCGCTTACCATCAGGCGAGATAGCAAAAACCTACATAGGGCTTTTAGACATATTAATATGTACTAGAAGACGTTTATCTAGAAATATGTAGGAGATAAAGCGTGGGCGTTTAGCTCTTGTGTAGGTACCGGTGACATGTACAAGATCAAGTAATGGTTCGGGTCGCTAAACTTACCACGACGTGCTCTGAGTAATCAAGTAAGTTCTAAAAGAAAAACTAGTAACGAAATACATGTCTGTGAGTAGAATGCTTTCGGAAGATGACAGTGGTACGGATAAAATGGCTTTTTTGACACCTAAATCAGATGTATTAGATTCATTTACTTACCTGCTTTAATAAATAAAATTAAAGTTTATTAAGTACTCACGTTTGCAAGGCTATCAGTCATTTGTTTTCAGAAGAACCCCAATGATAACAAACGCAAGAAAAAATAAATTGTCACAATTGGTCTAGGCGTTCTTGAGTTATACGTCCTCCGATGAGCTCATGCACACGAAGAAAAGAAACGGTTGTACTGAAGTTGAATACTTTTTTATCAGCCCAATTTCCGTAACATTATGTCCGAGTTGTAATAGCGAAATAAAAAAAACTAATGTCTACGATTACAAATAACACATTTCTATTTAGCAGGACATTTGATATTTCGACGAACGTACTCATTGAATGTTATGCCAGCTCATCCGTGAGAAACTGGGTCAAACACTACCTAAATACACTTCATTTTCCCGCTCTGAAAACTTCGGACATGCGTAGGTAATCGGGAAACATTCTGTTTAGTAGTAGAGAACAAATTCGTTTTATTACCAACAACTTTATAAAGTTGGAGTTGGTGGACCACCGCCTCACAGAAAACTGGCGTGAAATGATTACAGCGTCGTGTTCCGTCGTGTTATGCTTGGGCCACACTAAAGGGAAATGCCATAAAATCCGATAATTGATGATATTAAACAATGAAAAATAAACCGTACCTTAAATAATTTGTTTAGTGATCAAATTACACCAACGGTTAACGGCCATTATCGCGATAATGAATGGCAATTCCCGTTAGTGTGTCCCAAGTATAAGTGAGATTTGCGGAGATCCAATCCTTAATCCCTAAAAAGTCGGCAACTCACTCGTAACCATCGGGTAGTCCGCAAGCGTATTTGCTGCCCTATTAAATTAAAAAAAATCTTATTTTGATAGCTACGTTCCAAAAAAACGCCTGGTTTTTCTAATGTGTGACGACGGATAACTGTACCTTTTATTTATTACGTTCTAAAATCTTTATGTACAGAAAAGATAAATGTTAGTTATAACTTCCGATTGCTGATGAAAAATAATCGATTACCGCATATCTACTATCACAATATTAACCCTAAACAGAGGTTTCACCATACCAATAAACTTATTATAAATTATCTAATTTGGTTCAAATACTTATTAAAACCAACTAGATAATTAGCCTAGTTATTATCAGCAACGCTAACTAAATCTTTTTTCAATAAACACGCGATTTAAGTTATTGTTTTAAGTAAAGGAAAACCATATATTTCCTCCTTTCAGATACGGGTGCGATGAAATGGGATCTGCGACAGTAGCGCTGCGGGAATGTGCAAAGTCTCCAGCTCAGTTACGCCTGGCCCTGACAGGTTCATCAGGTGCAGAGCCTACTGGGCCCAGGATATTGCTGGCCCTGTGCTATAGCACAAAAAGAAGGGCCCTGGTGGTGACCATATGTCGAGGAGCCGACCTCCCGCCGCAAGACAGCAATGGTTACTCGGATCCATTTGTTAAATTGTAAGTTTATTTAAGTTTATCTAAATTATCTAGCAGTCCACCATTGATTTACAAAAGAGATAACAACAGACCAAAAAACGGGGTCACTTACGTCTCATTTATTTATCACATATCAGTTTCTATTTTCCCGTACCGCCAAGAATGGGCCCTACTATGAGCCAAAAAGAAAATTTATTTCCATATAGGTACTTAAATATTTTCATCTAAAAATATCTGACGACATGCTCAATCGGCCATATGAAATAGGTTTATTTATTTCATCTCAAAGACCCCTTTTACCCTTTTTATAAGTAGGTACATATAAATTCGGTTTGTGCGCGGTATTTTATGTCAATAGCGTCTCAAAGTTTCAAGTAAATTGAAAACTACTCGCTCGTTTTCTGATGAAACGTGAAAGTTGTACCAATAACCTTTTTCATTAAACTTAATTAATGTGTATTCTCATTTGCCCTTATCTTTTTCAGGCATTTGGATCCTGACCCTTATCACAAAAAGCACAAAACATCGATTAAATGGCGAAACTTAAATCCAGTTTGGAATGAAGAATTCCTTTTCGAAACTCGTCCCACAGAACTTTCCCGCCAAAATTTGACATTGACAGTTTGGGACAAGGACTATGGTAAGCCCAACGACTTTTTGGGCAGTCTTGTTTTAGGAGCAAGTTCTAAAGGAAGAAGGTTGAAACACTGGATGGACTGCATAAAGTTTCCTGATCATCGTCATGAATCCTGGCACTCGTTAACAGATACCCAACATCTATAGACTATTTATTAAATATTATTTATATGTAAAAATATAATAAAAGTACGTTTCAAACTCTACATGTTGAAATGGCCATTATATTACGATGTATGGCAATAACTAATAGATACCGTATCGTTGTTCAATCATCATCGACAATAGCTAAATGTGATTATTCTGAAGATAGTATTTTTTAATATCTATGCAATGGAAGCACCAAATCAAAAAGGTTGAAATATTTTGTAAAAAGGTTTTTGTAAGTAAATAAGACACGAGTTTAGAGCTTCGAAGCAAAAGGGTGCTTGATGAACATTATAAGTAAAATTGTTTGAAAACTTATTATTTATTATTTAGAACGGTTGGGAGAGCCATGCTTCGGCACGAATGGGTCGGCTCGACCGGAGTGATACCACGGCCTCACAGAAAACCGGCGTGAAATAACCACAGCGTTGTGTTTCGCCGTGTGAGTGAGGTTACCGGAGGCCCAATCCTTCCCCTCCCCCAATCCCTCCTCAATCCCTAAATCTACAAATCCCTAATCTCTAAAAGGTCGGCAACGCACTCGTAACTCCTCCGTTGTGAGTGTCTATGGGCGACGCTGATTACTTACCAGTAGGTAATCCGTCTGCTCGTTTGTCGACCTATTACATAAAAAAACTCATAGTATACCTAAATTTGAGCTTCAAAATTTTGTTAAATGTGCAAGCAAATTGTTATTTCAGAATATGTTGTTATATATACCTATGTCTCGTAGATATCTACATTTACTACTTTTAACAAATATTTGGGACTAGATATGTTAAATAAAAAAAACACTTGAATTGACAACAGACTCTTTTCTGAGCCGGCTATAAAAAATCACTGTAGCATACATTTTGTTAAATAATAGCTAGATTTTACTGTCTATATTTCAATACAGGAAAAATACGTATGAAATTATTGCATGTTGTGTAGATAGAAACTGTTAATGAATGTATAAATAAAAAATATTGATGGTGTATTTACCTATTTAGTTAAGTTTGAATAAATCGAATATCCATATATAAAGTTAGTGTTAAAATTAAACGTTGTTAAAAGTAATTTCTGTGTATTTTTGTACTTTGCTGTTCCGGTTTGCATGTGCCAAATGTATCTTTGAAATTTAGATTAAGCTAATGACTGCCTTTATATCATAATATTCATGTACCTACCTAATTATACTGTGAAATAAAGACTTTCAAAAATGAACGTTGTTTTGTTTCTAACATTAACTGCAAAGTTTATTCCTCTTTTTGAATTACTTAAAAAAATACTTCGACTAGTAAATCAATTCTAAAAATTTTAATTTAATGTAACTGTATACAATAGACACATTTTTTTAAAACAGTACTAATTTTATGTAATCCCTGAGTCTCCAAACAAAATTTATATTAGCAAATAACAAAACGCACGACCAGAACTTACGACGACGCAGTAACGAAACGTTAAAAAAAGTTGTTTTGTGAACTTTTTTGACATGTAGGAAATCGTGAGAAAATCGTATTTTAATGGAAGTAGTGACTACAACCTGTTGATTTTAATGTTATTTTGTTAGTAATGTGTTAATTTGAGTTTGTTACAATATGGCGTTTCTATGTCCAGTCAGAATTAGAAGGGGGAAGAAGAAGAAATGTAAGTACCGAGCTTTCATTAGGAACTTTTCAAGTCAATGACCTCAGACTTTCTATATAATTATAAATATATAAAACTAGTAATTTCATCCTGTTTCACCTGACAACATGTATGACCAATACCCTTGACCGTGGGAACCTCAATATTTCAAGTATTGTTCGTGATTTGCAAATAAAAAAAACTTAATCGACCATAGATGCAAAAAGCTTTTGGGTGATTCAGAACTTCGTGTTTTTATTATAATTAAAAAAAAACACATTTTTTTTACATTATTTATCCAAATATAATGTCGGAAATTGTATTGAATTTAATTCTTAGCATGATTCAACTTTTCAAACTTTACATAAAGTTAGTTTATAACTTCAAAAACTACATAAATATAATAAAAACAGTTTGCCTAAGGATCGAACTGACCGGCATATTGATAACATTACCTATACACCTTATTTTAAAAAATGGTACTTGTTTGGTTTCTCCCACTGTTCGGCTTGGTTGGTCATAGTGTTGTATTAAAGCCCATAGCTTTCCTTAATAAATAGACTATCCAACACTTAAGCAGTTGTTTTATTTGGATCAGTAATTCAAGAGATTAATGAGTTCAAACAATAAACAAAAACTTTTTGTTTTTAATAGACATTGACATTAAATACTAACTTCTGCATTTATATTATTACAATTATGAGTAGATACTACATGCTTACATTCTGGCTACATCTCTTTTACCAGTATAAGGGTAATGATTCAGACAGCGAACTTGCTTCCAAGGCAGAAATGTCTTAAGACTGTTTCTGGCACACATGTCTCAGATAGGTGTATACCATATTTAAAAAGCTTAAGCATTTTACCGAGTGGTTGCTTTATTTGTAAAAAAGTTTAGAAACCTACCTGGCTGTTGACATGCTGAGAAAATAGCCTACTATATCACCTTAGAACTGCTCTGCTTTCAAAAAGATTGTTTGTTAAGTTTTCACATAATTATAATAAACTTCCTGAACTAAATAAGAGAAGTAGAAAAATAAATCAAATAACTTTTTGATAAAGTGCATGAATTTTGGTCACACAATCTGGGTTCTTGAATGAAAACAATTGAAAGATGCAATTCTTGAAATATAATCATAGATGTAACATAAATAAGAATAAATAATAACATATAGAAATATTGTATCCCTAATGTGGTAGAGCAATGCATGATTTTGTGTGTCTTATGCAAAAGTAACTTCCAAACCATCTGCTTGAATGACAAAAGACTAGATACCATCCTCACATGCACCTCACATAATAATATTATGTAGCATATACCTATTCTATAAAATTACATCGTTTTATAAATAGAAAAAAAGCAAGAAGAAAGAAAAATGCTCCAGACATGAAAGTGTGCTAAAAAAAAATTAAGTTTAAAAAAAAATAACTTACTAATACTTTCAATTGAAACATCTTACATGAACTATATTAACATTCACACAAAAATCTCATTCCAGCTAGCAGTGGGGATTCAGACAAGGATCTGTCCCGTCCCGGCTCAGGCCTCAGTCCAGGCATGGGCCGAATCACAGGCTCAGCCAGTATAGAAACCCTGGTAAGGGTGGGGATTGAGAAGGAACATGGCCTCAGTCCTGATTCAAAAATGGTGGTGCTACATGACTTTACTCCGTGTGTTGATGATGAGTTGGAGGTGAGGTTTTGGCATTTTATTTTATTGTAGATTTGGTTTTGGGTATTACAGATTTTTGTCAACAATTTTCGAAATTTTATTAGTAAGTGTTAGTTGGTAAGTTTTAAATGTGTAAAACGAGCTTTATGTATTTAATAGCTTCACATTAAAAAACGTTTAGCTAAAAATTCAAATCATTAATTTTTATTAGACTATTAAGCACACTTTTAATCGTTAAACAAAATAATAAAATATAAAAAGTGTCAGTCAGTCTGGTGTAGTTAAGTGTATTGACGGCAATACTATTGTTTACTTATTGTTGCTATTATTTAAATTTTTATAGGTGTACTTAAAGTAATTATTTTGTTATTAGTTTCATTATGATCTTTGCTCAGCATTGGCTTAAAAGTTAATGTGTAGTAGGATTTTTTATTATAACTTTCGTGAGACATTCTAAATTAATTATTGTTTTCGGCTTACTCACGTAATAACGAGTAGCAGCGCGACAGCGCGAATGCTGCTCATGAATATGGGCCTCTAGCATGGCTTGAAACTAGTCGAGTATCTCGTCAAATTATTACATGAGTAAGCCGAAAACATAATAATTTTATTAGTGTAGTAGGATTTCTTCTGTGCTGTGGGTGCGTTTACAAACATACAAATACAATCACACATACTCACATACACAAACCACCTAGACCCGAAACGACATTTTGTGAATTACACTGTGTTGTTACAGTACACAGTATACAGTAATCGATCCTGCGTCACGTTGCACAGCACCCAGTTGTCCAGCCACTAGGCCAACCGTTCAGTTATTTGCGGGGTAAGCGCAATGAGGCACCGCGACCTCGGCACAGAGCAGGAGAAGGAACGGGGGGGTTTTTAGTCAGTAAGAGTCTGACACTCCCTCCTACCGAAAACCGTTCAGTTATTTAATGATAACGACACATTATTTTTCAGGTAAAACGCGGTCAGATAGTAAACGTACTATACCGGGAGAATGACTGGGTGTACGTGATAGTAGCAGAGTCCCGGCGCGAGGGCTTCATACCGCACTCGTACTGTGCACCTTGCGAGCCACACGACCTGAAGAAGAAATTACCTAGAAGTCGCTCCCCAACTGACCTTGCGCATCGAGATGTTTCACAGTGAGTTTAAAATCACTACATAATATAAAACAAAGTCGCTTTCTCTATCCCTATCCCTATATCCAATTAATTAAAACTACGCAATTGATTTTTGATGTTTTTTTATGGATAGAGATTTTTTTATTAAATAATTCGGCAAACTAGTGACGGATTACCTAATGGTAAGCAATCGGCGCCGGTCATGGACACCCGCAACACTAAATGAGTTACGAGTTGTTGCTGGCCTTTTAGGGATAGGGATTGCGGATGTAAGGATTGGGAAGGAATACGGAGGGGGAGGGATTGGGCCTCCGGTAACCTCACTCGGTTTAACACGGTTAAACACAATGCTGTGGTTGTTTGACGTCGGTTTTCTATGAGGTCGTGGTGTCACTCCAGTCCATCCGTGCCGATGCTTGGCTCTCCCACACTTAAAGTAATTGAAGAGGAATCATATTCAAAATCATTTATAAGTTGTAGTTTATATGTATAATTATATCCATTAAATAGTGGAGAAATTTTGTATCTGCACTGCACCCGTCCGAACAGTGCCGGCGTTAGGGGGGCGTGATGGGGCGATGGCCCAGGGCGACAAATTCTGGAGAGCGCCAAGGCCTGAA